GTCTGTGTCTGTGTGAAAGGATGAGCCTGTGTCAAAGTCAGATGTTGACAAGGTCTGACACTGCGCGTGGTGGTAGGTTGCTCACAAGCATCTTCACTCCCAAAGGAGGAAGGTTTTGTGGGACCCCTCGTGAAGGTAATGACTTTGTTTTCGTGGAGCTGAAGGCCTTCGAAGAGGACAATGAATTGTCTTTTCTTCGCCCATGTTTGAAGTTTTGCCAGGGTCAGAAGATAGCTGGAGATTCCTTTTTTGACTTTGAGGCGCCCTTCAGTAGTGAGTCAAGCCTCCTACTGACAAGGGAAGAAATGTGAGCTGAGACGACAGGAGCAGTCTGCGACAAGGGAAGATCAATCTGAATATCATCTTTGATGTTGAACCCTTGCTTCTTCATCTGAAAGGGGAGGATGCAGTCTGACGCTCTACTGTCTGCTTCTTGGAGATGGTCTCAGACTATGAAGGAGATCATGAAGATCTCTTCCTATTTTCTTCCACTCCACAACATGAATATATTCAGCAAATTCTTCATCATCCTGGGGGAGCAGAATTCCCATTTATGTTCTGCCGTACAGTGGTGTGTAGAGCAAGTAGGACAAATGGGATGGGGATCACGATCGGAGATACGTAGCCTACACACAGTACATGTTTTCATTATGAAAACAGGCAGATTTTCAAAGTGCCAAAAAAGGAAATTGTTTTGTTTTGCTAAAATTTGAAACAAAAATCATCGAAAAGTTAATCGAAACCAAATACCTAATCGGGGAGGGCAATAAAAAGGTTGATTCGAATTGTGAGAAAAAAATTCCCACCCAGCTAACTGAGAATAATGGCGCGAGAATAAGAGAGTGATGAGTCAGATAGGTTGGTCACGTAGTTCTGTTGCGCCTGTGTGTGAGTGGGTGCGTTTGGGTGAGATGTTTTCAGTTCACTGGAAACACAGCACAGGTCGTTTCCACTACCTTTCGGGAAGAAGAGATAAGATACTTAGTATCAGTCAGGATAAGGTAAAATTGTAGACATTTACCACTTTGATGAAACAAGCAGGCATGAGTATGGTACTGACAACAAAGATTAATCAGGGTGAATCTGGGATTTGCATCCACAAAGTCAGCAGACCCTGCCACAACCAGCTTCATGTTAAAGTGGACATTATGAGAAGCACCGTTAATACACTTACAAGCATGTCTGTTCTCACCTTTCATCATATTGTGGTCTTGTGATGTGGTGTTATGTTCATGTTAATCTAGTTTACCACATAGCTAGCCATAGGCCACTAGGTGTGGTCTACTCTTCTCTTTTGAGGGCACCAGCAAGGTATACCCTGGAAAATAGTCTATATGGGAGAAAATCCCCTTTTGTGCCAGAATAAATGGCATTTCCATCAACGCTACTTTACAATCATTTCTGCAGTTTTCTCTTTTGTATTTTTGTGAAATAACATTTCAAAGACAATCTATGTCATCCTTTCTCTTTAAATATCAATGATCAGGATGCATTTTGTATACAACATTTCAAATTCCTGCTACTGATATATATATATATATATATATATATATATACATGAAAACAAAACATGATAATGTATATGTACTACATTTTCACACTCTTGAATCAATTCTCGAAAATCACAATCACGTCTGGCAGTGCTTCCATAATAATAAACAAGTCTTGTAAAACCAAAAGTAGACAAAAGTAACATAAAATTATTTCACAATGATATTTCCTCACTATATGCAAGATGCTACTTTCTCACTAGCTAGTCCAGTTACAATTTGCAAATACATGTAATGTGTTATCCAGGGGCCTGTGTGAGCTTTTCATGCTGCTTGTATTCTCATTGTCAATGAACTGCTACCTGCAAAGACTACATTGAATCTGTCTTATTCAATGAGCATTGAACAAATATCTGGAGTTCTTTTGGATGCTCAAGTTTACCACTGTTAGCTAATGTTTACCATTGTCAGTTAACGTCTACCACTGTTAGCTAATGTTTACCATTGTCAGTTAACGTTTACCACTGTTAGCTAATGTTTACCATTGTCAGTTAACGTTTACCATTGTCAGTTAATGTTTACCATTGTCAGTTAATATTAACCATTGTCAGTTAATATTAACCATTGTCAGTTAATGTTTACCATTGCCAGTTAATGTTTACCACTGTTACCTAATGTTTACCATTATCAGTTAATATTAACCATTGTCAGTTAATATTAACCATTGTCAGTTAATATTAACCATTGTCAGTTAATACTTACCATTGTCACTTAATGTTACCATTGGCACTTAATGTTACCATTGTCACTTAATGTTTACCATTGTCAGTTAATGTTACTACTGACAGTTAATATTTACCATTGTCAGTTTATGTTACCACCGACAGTTAATAATTACCATTGTCAGTTAATATTTACCACTGACAGTTAATAATTACCATTCTCAGTTAATGTTACTACTGACAGTTAATATTTACCATTGTCAGTTTATGTTACCACTGACAGTTAATATTTACCACTGTCAGTTAATGCTTACCACTGTCAGTTAATATATACCATTGTCAGTTAATGTTACCACTGACAATTAATATTTACCATTGTCAGTTGATGTTTATCATTGTCAGTTAATATTTACCGTTGTCAGTTAATGTTACCACTGACAGTTAATATTCACCACTGTCAGTAATGTTTACCATTGTCAGTTAATATTTACCATTGTCAGTTAATGTTACCACTGACAGTTAATATTTACTACTGTCAGTTAATATTTACCACTGACAGTTAATATTTACCACTGTCAGTTATTTTTTACCACAGTCAGTTAATGTTCACCACTGATAGCTACTGTTTACCACTGACAGCTACTGTTTGCCACTGTTAGCTACTCCAACCACTGACAGTTAATATTTACAATTTGTCAGTTAATATTTACCACCGACAGCTACTGTTTACCACTGACAGCTACTTTTTACCACTGTCAGCTACTGTTTACCACTGACAGTTAATATTTACCATTGTCAGTTAATATTTACCACTGACAGCTACTGTTTACCAATGACAATTAATATTTACCATTGTCAGTCAATATTTACCACTGACAGCTACTCCTACCACTGACAGTTAATATTTACCATTGTCAGTTAATATTTACCACTGTCAGTTGACCTTTGCCACATTCAGTTAATGTTCACCACTGACAGCTACTGTTTACCACTGAGAGCTACTGTTTACCACTAACAGCTATTGTTTACCACTGTAAGCTACTGTTTACCAATGACAATTAATATTTACCATTGTCAGTCAATATTAACCACTGACAGCTACTGTTTATCACTGACAGCTGCTGTTTACCACTGACAGCTACTGTTTATCACTGACAGCTTCTGTTTATCACTGACAGCTACTGTTTTTCACTGACAGCTTCTGTTTACCACTGACAGCTACTGTTTATCCCTGACAGTTACTGTTTATCACTGACAGCTTCTGTTTACCACCGACAGCTACTATTTACCACTGACAGCTTCTGTTTACCACTGACAGCTTCTGTTTACCACTGACAGCTACTGTTTATCACCGACAGCTACAGTTTACCACTGACAGCTACTGTTTACCAATGACAATTAATATTTACCATTGTCAGTCAATATTTACCACTGACAGCTACTGTTTATCACTGACAGCTTCTGTTTACCACCGACAGCTACTGTTTACCACTGACAGCTTCTGTTTACCACTGACAGCTACTGTTTAACACTGACAGCTGCTGTTTACCACTGACAGCTGCTGTTTGCCACTGACAGCTACTGTTTGCCACTGACAGCTACTGTTTATCACTGACAGCTTCTGTTTACCACCGGCAGCTACTGTTTACCACTGACAGCTTCTGTTTACCACCGACAGCTACTGTTTATCATCACCGACAGATACTGTTTATCACCGACAGCTGCTGTTTACCACTGACAGCTACTGTTTATCACCGAAAGCTACTGTTTACCACTGACAGCTGCTGTTTACCACTGACAGCTACTGTTTACCACTGACAGCTACTGTTTACCACTGAGTGCAACTGTTTATCACTGACAGCTACTGTTTACCACTGACAGCTACTGTTTACCACTGACAGCTTCTGTTTACCACTGACAGCTACTGTTTACCACTGACAGCTACTGTTTACCACTGACAGCTACTGTTTACCACTGACAGCTACTGTTTACCACTGAGTGCTACTGTTTACCACTGACAGCTACTGTTTACCACTGACAGCTTCTGTTTACCACTGAGTGCTACTGTTTACCACTGACAGCTACTGGTTACCACTGACAGCTACTGTTTACCACTGACAGCTACTGTATCACATGCCCAGAATGATCAGAATCAGAGACCATATATCGGTATATGGTCTCTGTCAGAATGATGTACTTCAAAAATAGTTTTGTAATAATTTTGTAATCTTTGCACGATCAGAGAATGTAATGAGACAAAATCACAGAATCATGCCAAAAGTGACCCCTGAACAAGATACAACCATTTTCCCAACAACAAAAGCCAGCCCTGAAGCTGTATTTACCTCACATCTAATGCACTGCTCTTGTTCAGTAAGAGTAACCATCTTGTAGTTTAGACTGTACCCACACACATGAGTGAGTGAGTGAGTATGGTTTTACGCCGCTTTTGGCAATATTCCAGCAATTTCACGGCGGGGGACACCAGAAATGGGCTTCACACATTGTACCCATGTCGGGAATCGAACCCGGGTGTTCGGCGTGATGAGCGAACGCTTTAACCACTAGGCTACCCGACCGCCGCCCCCACACACACACACACGAGTATTTAATGGTAAAAGCTAAAAATGAAGAATATCAATACAAATCGCGTTTGAACATCAAATTATGTTTGGGGAGATCAAATACTGCCACTTCTGAGTAATTAACCTCCAATAAACCCTAATAACAATGTGCTATTGTCTTTTTCGCCACGAAATCCACAAGAAAACAACTGATCTGACCTTACCTTTATCCTGCCTGCAATGTTAAAGTGTTCGGCATAGTCCTGTATATACTGCAGCACCGTCTCATGGGGAACAAAGGAGGGCAGGCCCTCCGGGAAGGAAAAGTCTGGAAATGCCATTATCTCCTTGGGGATATTTGTTCTAGAAATCAAAAAAAAATGTTTTCATCTCAGTTTGAACCATTCCACAAAGTAACCAAAGAGAGAGCCATTACTGACTCCTCTCCCATTTACTGTATCAGTCACTGGGGTCATGTTCCCATTTACTGGATCAGTCACTGGGGTCATGTTCCCATTTACTGGATCAGTCACTGGGGCCATGTTCCCATTTACTGGATCAGTCACTGGGGCCATGTTCCCATTTACTGGATCAGTCACTGGGGCCAAGTGATATGAGGGGTGGAATCTGATTGGTCCATAGGAGAGGCTTAGAAGGGACATGTGGTCTAATAGTAGAGCGTCCGCCCGGAGAGCGGAAGGTCCGGGGTTTGATCCCCAGCCGCGTCATACCAAAAGACGTTAAAAGATGGTACTTTTTGTTACCCTGTTTGGCGCTCGGCATTAAGGGGCTTAAACAAGGACTGGTCGGCTCGGAGTCAGTATACTGTGTCTGAGTGGGGTATTCATGTTAAAATGCGGCATGGTATCTCAGTGTCCTAGCACTATAAATCGGCATCAGTCCGGACTAGTACAAGCAGCCGCACACACACATACATGTGCATGCATGTCGCTATATAAGTGCAATAATCTTGGACGCGACGTTAAACCCCATTTCACCTCACCTTAGAAGGGACATAACTCGTAATAACCACTGGTGTCGCTACGATCGAGCCCAGGAATTCCAGCCTAGTTCGGTAAGGGTGGAAACTGTCTTTTAAAGTCAGTTAACTCTCTTTCCTCGGGAAGATGCCAGTTACTGGACCAGTCACTAGGGTCATGTTCCCATTTACTAGATTAGTCACTTGGGCCATGTTCCCATTTACTGGATCAATCACTGGGGTCATGTTCCCATTTACTGGATCAGTCACTGGGTCATGTGTCCCAAGTGTCAACTTGATATCTACCAGGTGTCAACTTGATATCTACCAGGTGTCAAATTGATATCTATAAGGTGTGAACTTGATATCTATAAGGTGTCAAATATATATCTACCAGGTGTCAACTTGATATCTACCACGTGTCAATTTGATATCTACCAGGTGTCAACTTGATATCTACCAGATGTCAACTTCATATCTACCAAATGTTAACTTCATATCTACCATTTTTTGCAAACATGATATCTACCAAGCATCAGCTTGATATACAACACATCAAATTGACATCTACCATAATTATATCAACTTGATATCTACCAGGTGTCAGCTTGATACAGCACACATCAAATTGACATCTACCATAATTATATCAACTTGATATCTACCAGGTGTCACCTTGATAGCTACCAGGTGTCACCTTGATAAACCACACATCAAATTGACATCTACCATAATTATATCAACTTGATATCTACCAGGTGTCACTTTGATAGCTACCAGGTGTCAACTTGATACACAACACATCAAATTGACATCTACCATAGTTATATCAACTTGATATCTACCAGGTGTCACCTTGATAGCTACCAGGTGTCAACTTGATACACCACACATCAAATTGACATCTACCATAGTTATATCAACTTGATATCCACATTGTATCAGTTTGATATACCATCTGTCAATTTGATATCTCCCACGAGCCAACTTGTTACCTCTCATGTACATGTGTCCATATCCCATCTGCCATTTTGTTTACTTACTTGAGGTTTTTGTACACACAAGCTAACATGGGCACTCCATTTTCATCCTCAAGGGCATTGTCCCTGTAGATCCACATGCCCCCCAGCTTTGAGCACTGCTCGAAACACACTCCTTCGAACACATCAGATCGAGCCAGTAGATGCCGCATGGCACACAGACCTGCCGGACCAGCACCGATAACTGCCACACGGATCACCATATTGAACTACCTACAACATAGAGACAGCTTGTAACAACATGCTTGTTTCCCAACACAGGTATATATAGTTATGGATGACTAACTTAGCAGAAAGCCTGCCAGCTCACCCAGGCGAATATCCCAACTGCCAACCTACTCATTCTCTTTGTGCCAACTGATAAAGTGCCTAATATTCCATACCACTGTATTGTTGACAAAGTACTTATTCAGGGCTTGCCACCATCTTTCTTCTTTTGACAAGTGTGAGCTGCAGATGGGCCATACACCACGCGTGACACTCACACCAGGGGTAATAGTTTGACTATCAGAATGGAGATTAAGCATCTCATGACATTCATATAGGGGTTTTTCTCGGGTTAAATTTCCTTCATCTTGTGGCCTATATATGATACAAATGGCTCCTGATGTATTTTAAATAGGAGCCACTTGGCTCCCTGCCTCAATATATTTTACAAGAGTGAGGAATTGGAAAAATGTTCACTTTTACATGGGCAAGTAAACTATCAAAATCCATTGATGACCTCTTGTCAGGAATTTTATAGGCATAATATATTTCTGATTATGCAGTGGATTTGGTGACAATTGCAGTTAAATCTGCTATGAATAGAGCCACTGTTTGCTTTACTAGTCACATACAACACACCTTGCATATTAATAATACAAATGTAATAAGTACTATTATCCCCATCTATAGAAAGTTTCTGAAAATGCAGACTAAAACTGTACTGAGATACGAGTCAGTAATTTGAACAGGGTCAACTAAAAGGAATGTTTGACATGACTACCAGCCCACCAGGTCAGGCAAGTGGCATTCCCTCAACCCTGTACTATAGCAGTGTTGTAATTTAGCCTGGAAACTTCCATGACATGCCATCAATCAAGCCACCGAGTCAGACCACCAGGATCCATTAAGTTATCTCTTGCAACCTACATGTGTTGCTAGGAACCAATTCTAACCCATAATCTCCCTTGATTTCAGTTTGTGTGAATGAAGCTGAACATGATTTAATTGATTCACGTCATCTTGAATGAATATGTTGATAACATTGACTTCTTGTTGCTCTGTACTATTGTTTTGACATGAGGTGTGGTGAGGTGAGGTGAGGTGAGGTGAGGTGAGGTGAGGTGAGGTGAAATTGGGTTTAACGTCGCGTCCAAGATTATTGCGCTTATATAGCGACGTGCATGCACGTGTGTATTTGGCTGCTTGTACTAGTCCAGACTGATGCCGATTTATAGTGCTAGCTCACAGAGAAACCATGCCGCATTTTAACATGAATACCCCACTCAGACACAGTATACTGACTCCAAGCAGACCAGTCCTTGTTTTAGTCCCTTAATGCCGAGTGCCAGACAGGGTAACAACAAGTACTATCTTTTAACGCGGTATGACGCAGCCGGGGATCAAACCCGGACCTTCTGCGGACACCCTACCACAAGACCACGGAGGCGGTCGTTTTGACATGAAGCTTCAGTCTTTGTTTGTTTGTTGTCTATCACAGCACTTAACAATAAGATGACAGAAAACAGCCTGGGGGATATCAGGTATTTATCTAGGTTTCAAAAGTGCCCCTGGCATGCAATTTGAGCATTTTAAAGTTCTTATTTCCTTAGTTTTTTAGCATTAAACCTCTTACTCTTAATTGGTAATGGTATCAGTGAAATACAGGTTACCTTCCAAAGCCATGAAATTATTTATTGGTTATTACATGAATTGGGAAATTCATAATTCCAATTCAGGAATTTTTAAATACATATGCTGCGGATGTGGGGCCGAATATTGGCACAACATGTCTTGCATATATACCTCTCATCACTTGGTTGTTGTCACTCCAGCTTGATAATGGTGTAAGAATCTACAGCAAAACGTCGCTATATGCAATAAACCAGAGGTTGTTATTCATAAAGTCGTACATTATCCCTGGATGTTGTACAAAATGTCAACCAAAGTTTGGTCCAACTGAGCTGGCTGGTTCTGGTCCTGTCATAGGTGTCCTATCTCATCCCAGACATGTTCTGTGGAGGAGCGGTCTGGAGAGACAACCGGCCATGGCAGTGCAGCAATGTTAAGCTGCCTCAAACAGTTTGCTACAGCATGTGGGCAGGCATTATCCTGCAGCAATGTGATGTTACATCACTGCATTTGCACAAAGGGTAGAATATGATCTCAAACGATGTCATTCTGGGAGCATGTGTCATTAACAATGATGAGTTGTGATGCCACCATACCATTACACTTCCATCCCCCTCCCTCGCCCACATTGCCCCTGATGGTGACATGGAAGCAAAAATGGACATATCATTGACTTTCGGGGCCAGATGTTGTGCTCCCTCAACCAGTTGTGTTTTGTTCTGTCACTAATTGGTCTCAACCCAAGAATTGTCTGAGCTGTTAATGTGTCAGATTGGCATCGAATGCCTAGATGCACCATCTGTATATGGTTGTCTTGTTGACACAACATCACACGTTGATGACCAGCCCGTGGCAATCATAAGTGTTACCCTGCTGAAGTGATTGAGTGAGTTGGGTTTAACGCCACTTTTAACAGTATTCCAGTTATATCACGGCATGTCAGTTTTATGTGGGAGGAAAGCCCCAAGTGATGCAGGTCTCAGACATTTAGCATTTCGGTGAAACCCACGGGCATGGGTATGGTGCTGACAAACCTCGAAACATAATCAGGGCGAATTGGGATTGAAACCCACAATCATAGGGACGCAACTCTGCACAGCGAATCAGACGACTGGGCCTCCCGTCTCCCCCCCCCCCTCCCTCCCATACCCACAGCATGTAAATGTTGATATTCAGCAAGCCATGACATTTTGTAAGCCTTACATAGGGGCATCTTCCCGAGACAGGGGAGTTAACTGACTGTAACTGTCCAATTTCCACCCTTGCCGAATTAGACTGGAATTTTGTGGCTCGATCATATAATTTCCCTTCTGTGTCCATCCTATTGACCAATCAGATCCCACCTCTCATATCACTTGCATTTGCTTCAAACAAAATGGTGGCGCTCAGTCAAGACAATAAGATCGATAATCAAGATCTATATTGTAAAATGTATATTGTAAAATGGGTCTTACTTCGTGAAGTGCATCAAATCCCACAAGCACCTCAATTAAAAACATGAAAAGATTTGGAAAATATCTGATGACGCCAAGTTGACGGTACACATACTTTTCAAATACTGCAATCAACTGAAATCTACACAGCAGCTTACGAACCGGATGTCGATTTCATTACTCGCGATTGGACTATCCATAGACTCGTTAGTCCAGCCAAAATATAACTCCAAAATTCCAGCCTTGTTCAGAAAGGGTGGACATTTATAGTCAGTTTACTCCATGTACTTGAGGTTAAAAAATAAGTGTTTCTATGAGCACTTGATAGCTAAACAATCATTGTGTGCTGTTCACATTTAAAAAACATGTGTGTTAGTGACATATTCCAAACAAACAGAAAACATTCAAATTGTAGGTCATGCATAAGCATGCACTTTCAACTTGAGGACATGTCTTCATGAATATGTATTGAAAGATGCATTATCTAATTTCAACTTAAACAGTTACTTTTTACCAGGGTATGAAACAGGACTGGCTAGCTGAAATACTTGCCAGCCCTGACCAAAACCTGCCTGCCCACTATAATCATATGTTTCTCAGGATAAGCTAACGGGATTTCTTTTTGGTTACATTTTATCATTCATCTTTACATGTGAATTAATGATTATCATCGGGAAATATTTAGAATATTGTCACATATGAAATATAACCCGACCGTCGGGCAGGGGGATTTGAAAATCTGGCAGCCCGAGTTGAAATCAACCCGTCTCGGACGGTTGGGCAGGCAGGTATTTCGAACACTGTTTTTACCCTTTAGTATATATGATGGCAGTCTGTAAGAAATCATGTCTGGACCAGACAATCCAGTGATTGAGATCATGAGCATCGATCAACGCCACTGGGATACCATGACAACCAAGTCAGCGAGCCTGACCACCCGATCCCGATAGTCGCCTCTTATGACAAGACTAATCGCCATTTACGGCAAGCATGAGTTGCTGAAGACCTATTCTACCCCAGATCTTGTTAAGTGGTAATTTAACAAGTGACTTGGTAGCCATTTATGCAGTAAACAAGATGACTCGAGCTGATTAGGACACTGTGAGCAGGGATGCATTGAGGTTGGGTGTGTGATGAATGGGACTGAAATGTATTATTTTTCAAGTTTACAGGGTGATTATATAGAAGTTAAGGTGTGTCCTTTAGAATTTAAGTGTACCAACAACAAGCTACGATGAAGTTATTACTCACCCCCTACTAAGCTTGGGTTCTCTTTAACTCGAGGAGCTAGAAAAGCAGTCTAGGAAGTTTTCTACCTCTCTTCATTGAGACTGTTACTGTTTTAAATTTCTTAATACCAAGGTCTACTACGTGAATTACACTGTGCTTTAAAGGGGCACTGATCTAACGCAATTCCCCGGACTGGTTGTTGCCTTTGTTATTGTTTTTTCCCCGTGAGTACCCGGATGATACGCAACGCAACTGAGCGTGACCAGAGACTGGGCTACCGTCTGCAAGGACAGTTAAATAAACTTGGAGGCTGGAGGCAATATTTGTTTTACGCATTTTTGCATAAACACTGATTGGTTAACTGTGATCTATAAAGATTTTGACAGAGGGCGCTTGTTAATTAATTTCTTCAGCCTGAACAAACAGACAAAAAGAACGGCGGAGCTCATCGGATGTCGTCATTTGGAAATACCCCAGATGGTTATAGTTTAATACTAAAAAAAGTATCCATGCAGTGAAAGCATTTTCGGATTTCGGATTGCGTCGATAATACGATTACTACTCCCTTGTTGTCATCCACGTTTTCTCGTATAACCCTACACTTGTGTATTTGTCGTCATTCACTTGATGCTCAGTTAATTAATTTATTACAGGTACAATTAGTGGTAGCACCACTGAGATTACCTGACAAAGGTTCCCATTTGGCATTTATTGTGTCTGGGGTAATATTATTCAATCTAAATCCAGGTTTGAAGTGAGGTGAAATGGGTGTTATGTAA